AAAGGAAAGGAAACGTGCGAAAGAAAAAGAATTCTACGAACACAGTATCTCCTTTGTCCTGTGATTTCCACATTTTGACTCCTTATCCTCTTACCACCTTTCATGATACTTTAATCCACCACTTGAGTGTGGATTGTAGCAATGAGCTATCGTATGGTCTTTTGAAATCGTTCGGGTAAATCCTGTTTAACAGAAAAATAAGATTTTATTTATAATCAAATCATACTATATATAAAAAATTCTATAATTTATAAATGTAATTTATAAATGTAAAATTATTAATTTAAAAGATGGTAAGGACATAGTTATTAAAAATGAGATCTTCATTTTGCAACAAAAAAATAAACGTACTTCAAATTATCAATAATTTATAATAATTTAATTAACTCGAGTTAATTAGATTTTCAATAATTACATTATTTAATTTATATTCTAAAGTACTCTCTTTTATCACAAGTATTTCCGCCGCAATGTAATTCACATTGATTTGATACGTTTAATTTAACTGAGAAGTTTCGTATCTTCACTGTGAAGATACACAAGTATCTCAAGGAAGCGCGACCATATGCTCTACTTGGAGAATTATTTTGTCAGAGGCAGAAACTTCTAGCGAAGAGAGATTCGTAGCGATATTGACGTTTCACTTCTCCAAACTGCAAAGATATAACGAAGCTTTTAGATTTCCGCACAAATTCGCAAACTCTTACCTAATGTTGCGTACTTAATTAGGACTTTTGAATCACGATACATTGCGTGTAGAGATAGGTACTTTGGAAGGACCCTTGCAGAAAGATCGGGCGTTTACGTAACTTGATCTCGCAAAAGGTATACCTGCTGGAGCAATAGTTTATAATAACGTTCGTAATCTATACTAGAATTTAATTTATCTAACAGCAATTCATCTATTAATTGAGGACTTATGAGGAAGATATTTAAGGAAAGAGTGTTTGCTGATTTGCACGAGATGAGAATATTTTTATTTATCATCAGAAAAATAATAAAGCATTTAAAATGCGTAAAATATATCAAGATAATAAATGTTTAAAGAAGACTTCTCTTTCCAGAATTATTACAATATTTACTGAGTCTTTCATTTTTAGATCATCAAATATGCATACCTTATATAGATATGTACCTACATTTTATAGTATAATTAATTCAGAACTTCTTGTGTAGATCGTAACTCACTTTTTAAAATGACAAACATTCATGACCCATCTAATTTTAAATATGAAAAAATGGATAGATAAATAAGTTATTTATTTATTACTATTATACTATTTCTATTTTTCAATATTTGGGGTCACAATTCGTATTTTAGGATTCTCAAAATTAATTAATTAACTGAACCAAAAAATCAATATTAACACCCACAGAATAGTAACAATAATTGTTACATTAATATTATAATTTTCCATTCAGCAATATAAATGAAATATAGTTGAAACATGTTGTATGTAATAATTATATTGTTGAGTAAAAAATGATAATTGATGTACTATTTGTTGTGTTCTGTGAATAGTATCATCTAATGGGACAACATAAAAAGTAATCGAAAAATATATGTTTGCAAACTACTAATTATATCTTTTCTCTTTCATGTGATAACAGGATATGTCAACATGTAAATGAATGTTCTAAACAGAGCACGATTATATCGAAATATCTTGTGTGATATACACATAAATTACAAATTAGTTCGCTCTTGTCGCACACAAACTTCTCTGGTCAGTTTATTCGACGTTTATATCGTCATCTCCATAGCAGCAATTTCTCGCGCGTGCAACTCACCTCTCTCCAGAAACGAAAATTATTCGTGCTTGTGACTAGATCGTCAACCATTTCATTATCGGTTTTCTAGAAATTCTGCAGATATTTAAATTAGTCGGGAAATCTCGAGTGAGAATGTCAGATAACAATAGTACTGTTTAAATTTTTTAAGAAGAATTCCCATTTGATTATTCATGCCAAGTTATATTAATTTTGCGTCGAGATAAATCACACAATTAAATAATAACAAAATAACTATATATATATATATATAATAGTCATAATTAAATTCTCATGCGTGCAACAAAGCAGATAATCATAGGCAGATACAACAACATAAACCCTGCTTTATCATTTATGATAGCATGATATACATGCATCTTAAAATGAGAAATAACACGCGCTATTGTATAATAATTAATAAACCTTCATTATACTAATCGCATATCCATTAGTGATAATATGTAGAAAATCATGCGATCGAAATTGTTGTCACGTATATATATATATATTTCTATTGTGTAGACGCGCATAAGTTATCGAGAGATTGACTGCCTCATTTTAATTAATATTCCCAACATGTTTATTTAATATGACAAAGCTTTGAAGCAGTATACCGCTAATTTGCCATTAGTTAAATTATTGGACATTCTGCATGTTTGAACGAGGAATTTGGGATTATATATACGTAATCAAAAAGAGCGTCAAATACTATTGTCTTCTGACAAAGGAATTTTTTTATTTCTCTGTTTTCTCTCTCTCCTTTTCTAAACCATATTATATTAAATTCTGATAGTTTGTGTATAAATAAATGCGAGAAGTATTTCCGCACCTACTTGATAGCGCGCAGTTAAAATTTATGATTGGTATATCCTTCCCAAACGAAGATTCATCGCTACACGTTGGTTTCAACATTACACGCACTCCTTCCTCTGTATAATTTCACCACAGAGAATTTCCTATTACAAGTTCCACAGACCTCCATTCTCGCGCTGTCTAATCGTTGAATTTCGCCTCGATTGCCCCGCGAATCTCATTCATCATTGTGACATTTTCCTCGATCTTACTAGCCCGTGTAACTTGATTCTACGTTTATCAAATTGCAAATTAATTTCAAATTTTGCTGCGTACGAACGCAACTACTAACATATACTTCTTTGTGATCTTTTTAAATTAAAAGATATATTTATATACAGCGCCCATATAACGTTAAGTTATTTTATGCAAAAAACGCAATACTATTTTAAATTATAATAAACAAATTTATTAAATAAATGAAATTTAAATACTGGAGATATGTTTAATTGAAATAAAAATCGCATGTTACCTGATATTATTACAAGTATATTTGATAATGAATAAAAAATAGGACAAGATGAGGATAATATTTAAATCATTAATTTTTCAAGACTTCTCTGAATAAGAAATTTGCTTGTGGACCAATTTTAAAATACGTCGGAAGAAAGAATTTACTTCTATATTGGCAATAGCAAAAAATGTATATAATTAATAAAAATTGAATATAAAATAAAAGACAGATAAATGCAATAAAAAACGATAAATGATGGTTCGCAAAAAATATAGACAACATTTGTAGAAGAAAAACATTGAAATCGACAAGCGCGCAAAGAATTGGAGGAATATAAGCACATAGGCAATGAAAGAAGAAAGGAAGACGAAAGGTGAACGAAGAGAAGCGGAGGAAGATGTGCGAGAGCAGAGCAGAAGAGAGTAAGGGAGTGGAAGAGCAAAGAATTCCCGCAGGACACGACCCAGCAAATGAGCCGGAGAATGCAAATCAATCCCACGACGCGGCGCTCGAAATTGTGCACCTACGCTCGAATGCGGCAATCCCTTTTCCAGGGCTTTGCTGCACGTGCTGGTGGTATGGCGTTACCGCCACCAACACACAGCCCACGAATGCCCCCCTAGGGTACGTCACTGCAACGGTGCAACGGTGCAATGGCGCAATGAGACCGACATTGCAGCGAAGCGAGCATTATCGCGTCCGATGTGTCCGACGCGACCTGGAGAACCGCCTTCTCCTGCGCGATCCTCTTCGGGGAATAACATTTCCCCGACACTACCTGTAGTAACACGACTTCGCTTGCTCGCGGATCCTCTCAGTGCGAACCACAGCTCTCCGTTGGCGTACTCTACCACATTTCTGAAACGACGCAATACATGCCAGACGGCCGGTGGCAATCACCAGATAGCCTTTTACATGGCACCTTAATATACATCGTATCTTCTTGCACTAGTTTCTGTCGCTTTTTTGCAATGATTCACTGCGCGCTGGGAAGACGCAAAAATGGAACAAGTTTATTCCGAATGACAGAACAGATATTTTTAACCAGGATTTAAGAGCTTAAGAACGAAATTCGCGAAAATCATTTTATTTCTGAATTCTGTCTTTTAAATCTCATAGCTGAACAAGACTTTGATGTTTAAAGTTAGTTCTTCCTGTTCCATTCTTACATCTTCATCAAATTTCGCGAAATTTGGCTTTATGATTGTCATAGCAAATAAAGCTGTATTATTTCAAGAATAGCTTGAGGAAAACTGTTTTAAAATTTAAAATAACAAAATACGAATTGATCCAAAAGAATATCTAGAAAAAAAGAGATATATATACTTTTTTGCATTTTACCGTTACACTTTTGGTTTTATTCTTAAATATTATTATTTTAATTATATGTATGTTAATGTATGTTATATTTTTATCAAATTCTTAATTGGTTCATGTTTTTTTTTTTTTTTTTTTTAAGAGATAGCAGCTTTTCTGAGATTGATCTTATAGTGCAGCTATTATTTCGCATTTTTCTCTTTAGCAAGATAAAATCTTTAATTACAAGCCGCTTTTAAACTTTTCTGACATGCTCACTTTTAATCGTGATTTCAACTAATTGTACCAAGAAAAATTCAATAAATGTTCCGATATTCACTTCAGAGATGCTTAATTCTCTCATTAAAATCATTTGACAGATAAGATCATATTAATAGAATATCTCGTAAACTTTCTAATGACGTCCGTTTGATGAATATAGATGGATCGGATGCGAGTCTGGAGAGAGAGCACATGCGGTTACTTTTGTAAACGCGTCACTCGTAAGAACATGGCGATGACGGGGTCGAAGAAGCGATTCCCTTTGTCCTAACCGGCGAACTAACCGCTCAAAAGGTTTATCGGAGCATGACCGAGAAACTCCATTGAAATGCAATTTAACGAGATGGAACGGTGGGGAAGGCTATCTAGAAGGGCGATTATAGCGAAAACGACAAATGCGCGGTCGTCGAATAAGGTACCTCTTCCGACCGGATCAATCGTTTCGAATATAATATCAAAGATGGAATTTAATTGCGAATGAACATAGATATAAAGATGAATTTGTTGTACTCAGATACGCGACTAATTTGTTATTCGAGCAAAAGGAATGGGTAGCTTCTTACTCTTTGTAGTTAATTATAGGTATCGATAACGAATTTCGTCTCTTATAACTTTTAATAATTTTCTGAGTGTAATGTATCTAAAGATCAGCGTACATGTACATATACTCTCTTGTGAAGGATTATTGATTATTACGAACATGCAAACACAGCGTATAACGATTACACAGGTATACAAAAAATTTTTTGTTTCACAGATCAGACCACGATATTCTTGTATTTTGATGCTTTGAAACCAACATTCAAAATTACTCCATTATATTATAATTTTTTAAAATTATAAATAGCGCGATTTTCTAATACTTTTAATCCAACTACCAACTTGCATATTAATTTTAAGCTTGCATATTATTGTTGAAAACTTTTTTTTTTTTTTTTACCTCAGCTTGGATAAAACCAGGCTATAAAAAATACTGAAAAATTGAATTATTCTCAATAAATAAAAAATTGTGATGTGAAGCAATTTGGTTTCGCGTTTGATTTCAGAGCATTAAAATACATAAGAATACTATGGTCTAAGCTGCGATTCAAACATTAAAAATTCTGTTTTGTTATTATTAAATAAACGTTACACAATAAGAGAGAATTATTCGTTATATGCCATACACATTGACAAAAATTATGATACAGGCAACTGATGTTTTCGATTTGTTCCGAATACATCAAGGCTAATCTGCGATTAGTAAAATGACGGACTACCACGACTATATGCTCTGATCACGGATATCGATCAATTATTGCACTAGTACTCGCCCTACATTCGAGTCTTGTCACGCGAATAGTCTCTTCGATCCTTCCTGCCGAACGTAATCACGTTAAAATAACATACGAGCGCTACGTTTCGCGAGTTCGGAAAAATCGCATTTATGGCCGATGCCTTTAGGACTCGTCTGTTTCAGACGATCGTAAAAAGCTTCTGATGCAAGCGATTTTTCAAACGACTCTCTCTCTCTCTCTCTCTCTCTGTCTGTCTCTCTCAATACATTTTATGACAGTTGTGATCCATCGTTACAATCACCTACCGTAAAACTATATTTGTATTCTCTCGGAAGTTTAGTGGATGTATGCACTCTAAAAAATATCGATGTGGATTTAACACCATGCTGTGTTAGTGTTCATATCAACATGATGTGGATTTAACACCATGGATTTTAAATTCACATCGATATTTTTTAGAATGTAGAAGCACTGTGATGTCACTAAAATTGTACGATTGAGCAATACGCTCTCCCATGTGTCAGTTTAAGTTACTAACACCATGCGGTATAAGGCGCAATCATACGATTAATATTTTATCACAAGGAATTAGTGAATTTCAAAATGTTAATGCATTGCTCACCGCAAATGTGAATATGTAACATCTATGCAAATTGCTTCCGCAAAGCTATTAAAATTTAATAAAGAAATATCGAACGGGCCACAGATGTCCCAAGCTCTAAACGCTCAATGGGGATCCGTTAATCGTACGGCAATAAGCAGCATGTTAAAGACTCGAGGTTCAGGAATAGTATTTCGTTCGTGCTATTCCCAAAAGCGAGAAAGGACTGTTCCAATTAATAGCGCGATTCGACGATAGAAATAATCAAACGAGGACCAATTAAGGATACGATCTGAAGCCAGCGTACGAATGGGGCGCGCGTTCATTTCACTTTTATTCCCAGCTCGTCAGTATTCGCTCGTTTCCACGACTCGTCTCTATTGTACCGAATGAACCGCAGAACCGATTAGCTCGTGGATACGTAAATTGCGTCCACGATAAAAGCGGCCTGTGAATAGGATGGGGCGCCTTTCAGTAGCCGAGTAGGCGCATTGGTTGGTCCGTGCAGGTATCCATACTATTAGTCTCAGTACCTCACCGCCAATCTACGATGAAAGTTTTGGATAACGGATATGTCGGCGCGTGTTAATAAAACTGAATCATTAAAAAAAATTAAATTTTATTTGACAGTAAAACTTTTACAATAAACTTTTCGTAACTGTTTGCCAAATCGTTCGATTGACAAACAGTTCTTCGATTTGATTAAAAACTTAATTGTTATGTTTCTCATGTATACTCGATGTTTTAATTTTCAAAAGCAAAAAATACTGACTGCATAAAAACTTAAAACAATTTTTTTTTATTTTTACATTTTTAAATCTTGTGAACAATTTATCGTATGAAAAATTATTTTATATCTATACAATAAAACGTATTTTTCACGGAAAAATTTAAGGCGAGCAAAATAAACAAACACAAAAATAAGTTGATTTAAATTCTAAAAAAAAGTTATATCGATATATCATCTGATTAAATATTGATTTATAATTACTTACATAAATGTTCGAAAGATCACGGCAGGTCTTCTAACCAATAATTTATTACACAAGCTGTTTTAATATATTTATATATGAATGCTCAATTTTAGTAGAAGTACTTATTTGACATACGAATAAAATAGATTTTCCAAATTAGATTTGTCAAACACATTTCTGTTGAGAATTAATGAACTAATAACTAGAGAGTGTGTTATATAGGAACTTTAATATTTATGTTTGATTAATTTACGTTATGAGTATATTATAAATTAATATTTGTCATGTATTCAAAAATACATAGAAATCATTTTATATTCGTGTTAAAATCAATTCACTTAAATGTTGTTAAAATTTTATGTTGATTTATTAACATATAGCGTTAATTTGACATAATTTGATTTTGTTACTTGAACATTTTGTGTTTAATTGAGATATTCAACATTTCCTAATATTAGAATGGATCAGTTTTAATACAAATATAAAATGATTTTTACTGTGTATTGCTTTTGAATACACAATTTACGAGTAAGTAAATACTAATATTAAAATAATGTATTTTAAAACGTAAATAAATTCTAAAGTAAATGAATAAAATATTAATTTAACATATCGTAAATGTTAACTTTACTGAAAAAATATGCTTCCATAATTTGCTTAGAAATTGTGTCACATTTCAATGTTACATTTCTCGTGTTAATTTTTTTTTACATAATATCTGTGTTACTTTCTAACATATTTCTCTTGTGTTAAATTAATAAAATAAACAAAAATGTGAGTGAACTGTTTAGAACATGTGAAATGTATGAAATGTGTGAAATTTAACACAAATTTCCCAACTGTATAGTATATATATTATATCTATACACATGGGCAGTATGT